AAAGTATCTGAGCTTGAGGTTCATTATCAATCCTTCCAATGAGCAATTAGGGTTGATTTCTTTTAGGATTGTCTGGTTTGACCTCCTAGCAGTCCAGGGGACTCTCAAGAGTCTTCTCCAGCACCACAGTTCAAAGGCATCAATTCTTCGGCGCTCAGCCTTCTTTATGGTCCAGCTCTCACAGCCATACATTACTACTGGTTACTAGTTACAGGTTACTAGTGGAGCCCAAAATGTGCGTTTTGATGTTGCAAGTCCTCTCTGCAGTGCCTTGATTATTGAATTATGATTATAATACAGGGGGTGCGTATTAAACAAAGATGGGCGGCCATATCAATCCATCTTTATCCTGCTTTTCTTTACCTAAGCACAATTAAGAACAGCAAATTCAATGACCCCCCTCCAGAAAGTACCATTTTCAAAGGGCTAGCTCTGTTGAGCCGTGGATACAAGATGAAACTAATTCTGGGTTCAAATCGTATCTTCTTTAATCTTGCATGCGACAGATCCTGGGGAGGCTGGAAGAGTCAGGGGAGGAATGTTAAACATAACCAACCAGGAGACAGGAAGGCAGCTTCAATCATAAATGGCCAGGTGGCAAGGAATCTGGGAAGAAACACTTCAACTCATTCAGCGAGATTCTGCCTTAATGAAGTTACCACGGAGAGAGGGACATTTTTACAGTTTTTAACATGATTCTGCATGCACCCCCAATTCTAGCGTTAAAGGCCCCTGACTGAAGTCTGTGTAATTCTTGGTTCCTTGATCTTGCCCAGCTGGGCGGGGTTTGGCATGAAAAAGGACAATGTTTTTTAGTTTTTATGTATAGGGCTTGTTTCTGCAGCTTGACTTTTTAATTAATTAATTAATTCGTTTTAATTAATGAAAGGGGGTATTTATTTTTTAACTGTTTGCGGCTTTTACTTTTATCGTGAACCGCCCAGAGTCACCCACCGGGGGAGATGGGCGGCATCCAAATTTAATAAATAAATAATAAAAGTCTGGGGTCTGGATGTAGTAATCCAATGGCTGATCTTTCCTTCGGTTTCTGAAGCGGACGGGTCCATGCACTGGCAGCGGCCCGGGAAGAAGGAAGAGAAGGTTGATCTGCCCTACTATCAACCTCGCTCTCCATCCGCCGAGGTGGAGATGGCCTCTTACGTCCTCCTCGCCTACCTGACCACCCAGCCCACGCCTTCCCAGGAAGACCTCACGGCAGCCGCGTCCATCGCCAAGGGGTTGATCAAGCAGCAGAATCCCACCGGGGGCTTCTCTTCCACTCAGGTCTATCCCTGTCCTCTGCAGTTTGGTTTCAGAGGGTCTTAACGGGAGTGGAATCGGGGGCAGGAAAGGTATTTTCTTCTCAGCCACGAGAAATATTCTCGTGGGAATCACCATACCCTCATCCTGCTGGTGGATGGAGCCCGAGGAAAAAATTAAGAGAACCACCTGTCTTTTCCCTCCCTCCCTCTCTCTCTGATGCTGCTTTCATTCTTTCCATGGTGCCTCTCCTGTTAAGCCACAATCCCGGGGGGGGGGGTTCTGTAATAACGTCCTTTTTCTTTTCTTCCTGACATTTGTTTTTCCCTCTGTGAGCAACTGTGGGGAGCATTACAGTGGTTTTAAAAGATGAGTAGGGCAAGGCTGGTGTACATCCTCTTTTTCTCTACTTGGCAGCTTTGAACATGGCATATCCCCACCCAAGATCTTCCTAGTTCTTCCCTTCCTTCCCTCCCTCCCTCCCAACTTTTAGCCACTGCTGTTACCTTTCCCACTGGTTCCCCAATCTTCCCATTGCCTCGCCT